CTGCGCGGCCTGCCAGACCCGCGGCGTGCACCCCCGGCGGTGTCCCGCCGCGCTCCCTTGTGCGCGTAGTCCGGGCGGGGGGCTGGGATGGGGGGGAAGTTGTATTGTGTGCTGCCTCCCAGAGGGTTTCCCGCTGTCTCTTTTCTCCGATACAGGCTTATGGAAGGAGGAGAGGGAGTCCCGCTAGCTAGCTGTTAGGCAAAGCTTGCTGCACCTTGTTTATTCTTCTTTTCTACGCCACCCCCTTCCGCGTATTCTTTGCTGCCCATCTGCCAAGGCCTACTGTGTTGCCTCCACCTGCGCCCATGTCCATGCATGCTGAGGATAGTGCAGCACTCATCTGCCAAGATCTGTTGCACGTTCCCCTCCTCCCTCCCATGTATTCAGAGTTATTTTGCTTCCAGTCTGCTGTATACAAACATAAACATTGGCACAAGCAGATGCTGAGGGGTATATTCTGCCTCTCGCTTGCCAAAGCCTGTAGCCTCCTTCCATATATACGTGCACGTAGAGCAGGGGTACCACTGCCTTCCAAAATATACTGTGCTTGTTTCCGTATGCAGGTGTGCCGGGGAATACCTCCTTGCTTGACCACCACGGCTTGTCATGTACATACACACCAGGAGGCTTCTTCCTGTCTGCAAAGGGCTGCCAAGTTTTCCCACCTAAATAGGCATGCACGTGTCTTCCACTAAAGTCTAGTAGACAACTCTTCCAGCCCACCTCCTGCTTAGCGTATGAAGCTTGTTGTACTTAAGGGAGAGGGTATCCCGCCGTCTCCAGGGCCACCTACGTATATACAACTGGGTTATCGTGTTGACTGCCTACCAAAAGCTGGTCCGTCCTGCGTTGTACTTGTTTGCGCACATCAGGCCGGAAAGAAACAGCAGGGGTTTCACCAATAGCCTTTGGGAGGCAGGTATTTCTGCTACACGCGTTCTTGTTCCCTTCTCCCCGCAGTCACCTTTTTGCCTTACGTATATTGAAAATAACTATTTTCTTATCTCTTCTTGGCTGTACTTCATGGCTACCTTTTCCGTCTTCTGTGCCTGAAGCTTTCAGCCCATTTTCTTGATGTGCCCTGGATGATATTTCAGTGAAATACGGTATGATTAAGCCCACCTTGATTTTAGCTTTGTTTGTGTTTGTGGGATTTTCTTTTTTCTTTTACTCTGGCCGACAGCTCAGAAGTAGTCTGCAGATTTGCTAGGTATCTGCAGATCCCAAGTTGGAAACCACTGGTTTAAAATCCATTCAATTTCTTTTTTCCAAACATACATTATTTGAAAGTCTCCCCATTTTGTCAGGCTTTTGTTGTTCCTGTCCAGTCCCAAATCCATTTTGCATATTACTGGAAGTCTCCTACTTTTATTATTTTCCTCACACATGAGATCCTGGTTTGCCCTGCCTACATGGGAAACTTCTCTGCTTTCCAGGTTACGTGTTTGCCCCTGCTCTTTACTTTATCTGTGCTGACATGAGGCTTTTTCTTTTTTTTCTTTTTTTTCTTTTTTTTTTTTAAATCCTTGGAGTATCTACTACTCTTAGATTCTCTTTAGGTGGAGGTCATCTTCACCTCCTGAGTTGATCCCCAGCTTCTAGCTGCAGGTTTCTGTAGAGTAGGAAATGTGTTGTTTATCATGTGCTGGCATGCCTGTGGCACTGCTTCGTGAACCCTGTGAAGTGACAGTGAGCAGAAATGGCTTCAGTCCAGGCAGGTCACAGACTAGCGTCCAGGAGTCTTTTGGGCTATTTCAAATATGATGCGCTTTGCTTCTGAAAACTGAGCTCTTGTCCCTGCTTGAGGTCTACGTGTAATGCAGATCCAAGGTATGGTGTACCTAGAGACCTTGCCTGGGTTTAAGTGCCTCTATTTAAGAAGATAGAGCTGAACAAGTGTTAACCTGCTACCTTAGATATAGCTCTACTGATGTAAACAGCTTTACATCAATGAGGTATTTATACCAGAAACCAGTTATAATGCTATAAGTGTATCTCCCTAGGGGCTACTTCTATTTAAACAGCTGTTTTTAATCTTAGACTTTAATTGGTGCAAAAACTCAAAGCAGTCCCTTACCAGGGGAAGGGAATTTCCAGCCCCACTTTTGTCTCCCTGGGTGGATGTTGCATGGATGATAACTTGTGCCGAGGGAGTATCATGCTTGCTTTCCCACGCTGAAGGTTTCTCATTGGTTTTGTTTACAGGGTGAGAGAATTCCTCTTTCTGTGACCATGAGGTTGATGGGGGGGGGGGGGGGGGGGGAGTGTCCTTATGTATTTCTCCCGTAATATGGAAGAGAAATAGTCAGTAAGTGAAACTGAATCCATGCCATGTTTGTTGCAACAGGAGGTTAATCATAAACTCTGGCAAGTTTTTAAAAGGGCTGGTTTCATTCTGTGGTGTCTGTAGCAAAGTGTGTGCTGTTGTGAGGGTCTGGTCAGCTGTTTGCTAAGAGGATCAAAAGCAAATACAGCTTTCCCTGTATGTGCAGTTGAACAAGTGTCCGAGCATTATTTTTGGTTGTATCCTGTGACCCATTTGTAGGAGGCTTTTTCCTTTTTGTTTCCTACTTGTGAATAGATGTGCAGCGTCTGTGCTATAAGGTGAATGGTGACATCTCACTGATAAACAGAAGGTCTTGGACACTTCGCGCTTGCATTGATCAGTTCGTATCTAGCAGTTCACTGGCGTTGTCGGTTACATCTGACAAACTATTTTTCAGCGATCTTTGAGCATGTTTGAGTTTATTCCTAAGAGAATATCTGGTGATTTGTATAACTTCAATTTTTTTCAGGCATTATAATTTCTGAGTTCTCTTCGGAAGCTGCCAGGTGTGTGAGGAATTGTTCATATCATCTGTCGTTGCCAGTGTGTTTTGATTTTCATCCCTTGTTTGTTCTGCCAAGGAGTGAGGGTGTATTTTATAAAAGCCTTTACACCACACCCCTTCTCTTCTTGGGCTGGCAGAAAAGGCAAAATGTTTTCTTTGAAAAAGTAGGTATTATTTGCACAGCAGCCGTATACACGGACGTATAAAGAAGCTGCTTGCTAACAGCTTCTTCCACTGCAAACGGGGGCAATGTAAACCACTCGCTTGAACGAGAAGACCAAACTGTGACAAGGCAGTGATGTTTTTGCTGGTGTGTGACGAGGAAGGAAAGGTCTCTTGACATGCAGGGGAATGTCTGTTGACATACTTCTGTCTTGCCCAGTTAGAAGTAGGTTATCCCTGTTCAAATTATGCAACTGTGCAGACAGCCAGACTTCAGGAATTCTGAATACTTCAACGTGTCAAGTGCTGACTTCTAAATTAAAAGCTATGGTTGCAGAGTGCATTCACAGTCTGCCACTTTAAATATGACATCAATCTTGGAAGTGTGTGGCTGAAAAGGGGCTGCGACTTAATTACTTGTTTCTTTGAAAAAGTACTGTGTAAGATTGCAGGGACAAAACTGGGTGGGAGATGTGCCTTTACCTGTGATAGCGTTTCAGTATAGAAGTGTCTAGTTGATCAGTGTTTCAGCAGTTACGAGCAGAAAAAATAATGGAAACGCTGATTTGTTAATATACTTTCTGAGTAGAAGGTGAAATGTCTCACTGTGTTTATGCTTGCTTCTTGCCTTGAAAGATGCAGGTTTTAGCAAATAGATATAATTAAATAGTTGTGTGCTTATTACTAAGTAAACACAGGAGTCCGTTACTCTTAGCTTGCCTAGAATTTCAAAGTGATTCTTCTAATGGTTTCACTGGATGAAAACAAATGGTTAGTACTGCTTTGCAGAAGGTGCATAGATGAAATGGTGGTGGTGAGGAACAAACCGCAAACCTGATAAAGTGACATCTCTAGGTATGGGTGGGAAGAGAGGTTTTCTAAAGTTTTGACCTTTTTTTCAGTCCCATTTACTCGGTTGAAGGAAGCAACTTAAATTATGAGTTATTTGTAGATAGTTTATTTTTAATTTATTCAGAATTAGAGCTGGGGAAATCATATTTTCAGATGAACAGGTTTATCGAAATACACGAATGTTGGGGTAATAAGGACTGCAAGATGTGTATTGAGGTCAGTATGCGGTCTGTGACAGTGACCTGAAGTAAATCTTTAGGGGAAGAGTAAAAGAGCGTACATAGACAATGTAGTAATTACTCCTCTGGGTATCTACCAACAGCAAACGGTTTAGAGATTTCCCAAGCTAGAGGATACGCGCAGTCATGTTTAGTAGCTCCTGTTGGACCTGTCGTCTGTGGATTTCTCTAGCTCTTCTGAACTGTGTCTACTTTTAGACTCTACAGTATCCTGTGCGATGCATTCCACAAGTTGTGCAAAAATATTCCCTGATTTTGTTTGCTTTAAACCTGACGCCTGGTAATTTCGTTGAGTGCCTCTTGCTTCTTGTAGTATGAGGAAAGAATAAACAATTTTTTCTAGTCACCTCCTCATTTGCAATTTCATGGATCTTTGGGCTCTCAGTTTTCTCTTTTCTTCCAAGCTGAATTGTCCCAGTCTGTTTAGTGCATCTGTCTGCAGAGGCTGTTCTATATCTCCTTTTTTCCCTTTGAGCTCTACTACATGCTTTTGAGTTGATTTGACCAGAACATTCATTTCCTTGCTTTGCCCAAGAAGACTGAATAAAGGCAGTTTTCTCAGAGCATGAAGAGATGTGTTCTTGTAAATGGACACTTTGTAGCTCATCTGTGATAACAATGTAAGCATTTACTGCGTGTAATGTTTTGCATTCAAAAGTGCAAATGAACGTATTAATTACAAAAGCTATTTTGCTGGAAATACAGATATTCAAGATCTTAGTTTATAAATTTGGCTACAGATGGTAGGCTATATGGCATAGTGTCTCTGGATATTACAGAGAGAATGCTTTATGGAGGAACAGCAATTATGGTGGGTACTGACCAGAATTAAATCTTTTCATTGGCTTTGGCAGCATTAAGATATTGTGTCCTATAGAGACCCAAGAGCCCTAGAAAGTGCTAGCGGGTTAAGGTGCGAGTTGGTCGTGTGTTAGGGACAGGTGGTTACCTGTTAAGACGTTTATGTAGCGTTAGAAGCTTCTGCGGTTTCTTTTCCTTCAGTGGCTTTGTCTGTGAATAAATATCCGTGTTAAGAAAGACCTACTCTGAGACGTATCTGGGAAATGTTAGTAAAGAGGCTAGACGTTTAAAAAGGAGGAAAAAAAAAAAATCCTTATTTTGGAACCATGGATAGCGTTCTTCCAGTCCAGGGTTAAGTCATACGCGGGAAGAAAGTTAGAAAGCTGGCATTGTTACTGTTCATCTGATACCTGATTTGTGGGTAAATAAAAGGATCTTCAGTTTTCAGAGCCAGGAAGAACTCCTTTTTGGGTATTTAATTTTACCTACCTAATTGAGTCATTAGGAGAATAAAGGGTAAAAGGGTGATGACACAACCACATTCCTGTCTTGCTTAAACTTGTTCAGGATTCTTTATAGCCACTTCCGTTTCAAAGGTGGCTGTTTGTTTATACGTCTGTGGCACCTTGACTAGCTGGCCATGGTCCATGCTGTCTGGATTAGCTATCCCTTTTTGCCTCTTGAGATTGTACATGATGTGCGACTTTGCCTTGATCTCTCCCCTTTGCTCTTTTTGCAGGTTTTCTATGGTGTTGCTTGTCAGCGCAGGCTTCTTATACTTCTGGCGTTAATGTGGCTAGCATGCTTCAGGGAGATTTCAAATTTGCCTTATACTTAAGAAAAATGCATTAATTTTTGTTAACGTGCATTTCATTACTCAAGCTGTAACACTTACTTGCTCGTCTGGAATAAAAGTTAGAGAAGGAAAGGTGTCATTTATTGTAATAAATCTTCAAACAACAAATCAGTTGACGGGAAAGCTTTGTACTGAATTAATAAAACCTAGCACTTAGCCAAATTTGGCTGTCACAAACCTAATGATTGTGATATGCAGTTACAATCGTTTGTTTCTGTAAAATGAGGAGACAGGTTTGTAATTTTCAAGTGACAAAAGCTAACCTGGCATACAATAAGGTAGGAGGCACTGCTTGGGGGGTGATGAGGGGGTGATAGCAAGGGGGTAGTGAGAAGAGGTATTCTTCAGGTACTGAAGTTCTGTTG